AAAATGCCCCCCAAAGGTCAGAAACGATTCAAAATATAGTCCCCTGATTATTTTTTGACTATTTTTGGGGGTCTTTATTGCGAAGGCCTGACGGCCGGTGCCGCCGACCCTGTTCGCAATGCGCAGCAAGAGATTACGAGGTTGCTCAAGGTCGGCTTGGCTGGAGCCCAGGGGAAGAGGAGTCCCAGGGGGGGGCGTCGTATCTGAACCTCGGGGGGGTCGACCCCCCCCCCCCCCCCCCCCCTCCCGGCGGGGGAGGGATCAAAGGGAAGGGGCTTCCCTTCGACTCAATTACGAGGTTGCTCAAGGTCGGCTTGGCTGGAGCCCAGGGGAAGAGGAGTCCCAGGGGGGGGCGTCGTATCTGACCCGGGGGGGGGGTCGACACCCCCCCCCCCCTCCCGGCGGGGGAGGGATCAAAGGGAAGGGGCTTCCCTTCGACTCAATTACGAGGTTGCTCAAGGTCGGCTTGGCTGGAGCCCAGGGGTTGCTCAAGGTCGGCTTGGCTGGAGCCCAGGGGAAGAGGAGTCCCAGGGGGGGGCGTCGTATCTGACCCGGGGGGGGGGTCGCTACCCCCCCCCCCCTCCCGGCGGGGGAGGGATCAAAGGGAAGGGGCTTCCCTTCGACTCAATTACGAGGTTGCTCAAGGTCGGCTTGGCTGGAGCCCAGGGGAAGAGGAGTCCCAGGGGGGGGCGTCGTATCTGACCCGGGGGGGGGGTCGACCCCCCCCCCCCTCCCGGCGGGGGAGGGATCAAAGGGAAGGGGCTTCCCTTCGACTCAATTACGAGGTTGCTCAAGGTCGGCTTGGCTGGAGCCCAGGGGAAGAGGAGTCCCAGGGGGGGCGTCGTATCTGACCCGGGGGGGGGGTCGAACCCCCCCCCCCCACCCGGCGGGGGAGGGATCAAAGGGAAGGGACTTACTTCCCTTCGACTCAATTACGAGGTTGCTCAAAGTCGGCTTGGCTGGAGCCCAGGGGAAGAGGAGTCCCAGGGGGGGGCGTCGTATCTGACCCGGGGGGGGGGTCGACACCCCCCCCCCCTCCCGGCGGGGGAGGGATCAAATGAGACCCCGGGACGCTCGGAGAGAAGCTGGTAGTGCTCGTCCTGGAGGACAAGACCGACGAACGGGAGTTTGTCCCCGGCCTTCCCCTTCTTACCGCGAACCACCACATGGGCCCATCGAGCGACTCCGCCAGAGTCCTGAGCCTCGGCAGGGACCCACGTCCAGACCCGGAAATTCCGTCCCACCTGGGCGGCCAAAGCACGGAGGGCCCGAATGTCACCCCACTCGCCAGACGTCGCGACCTTCTTGGCCACGTCGTCAGTGTCAACAGGGAACAAACCATGGAGCTCCGGATTTTTCCGGATCTCCGCGGCAGCCCACGCGCGAAGCTGGCCCTGCAAGGGCCCGCCGGGTCGCATCAAGGCAGGGTCCGCTTTTTTCCCGGCCTGGGCATTCAGCCCAGCGGCGACCGACAAGTAAAGACAGTCGCCCGCGCCGCCACAGTCAGTCCGGCGGCACGCAGCCTCCCAGGGGGGCGTTCCCGGGTTCGTTCCGGGCGCAGGAGGCGGGGGCGGGGGCGGGGGCGGGGTTCCGGCGGCAGCCGCGGCAGCGGTCCGTTTGGTGCCGGCGGGGGCCGCGGCGGCGGCCACCTTGGTAGTCGCCGGCTTCGACAGCTCGCTGACGCCCCACCGCCCCCGCGCCGTGGCGGCGGCAGGTGGGCGCTTCTGCTTCGAGGCAGCGGCCGGGGTAAGGGCGATACCTGAGGCAAAGACGACGCCTCCAGACCACCCCCCGCCCTCCGGAGGCCAAGCCCGGAATGTGATGTCCGTGCGACCTCGGCGGGCCACGCCGCTGACCTCAGTAGCTCCCCGGTCGCTGGCCCAGCCGGCGGCGTCCTGAGTAGTCCACGCCACGGGGACGTTCGAGGCGTACCAGCGCGGGGCGACGAGAGCAGCCTTCTCGCTAGACGGAGGGCCCCAGACCCCTAAGTTGGACCCCCCGCCAGGCCGAAAAGCCAGCCGGCCCTTAGTCAGAGCGGCCATCCGCGTGGCCTCATCGAAATATTCCTTAGCCGACATGTCTTTCTTAGCGAGCCAGCTCGGCGGCGAAGCTGCCTCGGGGCCTGCCCTATGGACCCCCACGAACACGCCGGGGGCGGGAGACATGGAGAGGAACCGGTCGCAATCCCCCCGTTTGACCGTCAGCAGCGTCGTGGCCTCGTCCGGGTAGCTGACCGTCCCCGCGGTCCGGAGGACCACCCTTAAGACTCCATTCGACAAAAAATTGTCGATCGACAAAAATTGCCGAATTCGGCAACTTTTGTCGATCGACAACTTTTTGCTGAATTCGGCAATTTTTGTATAACGGAGGGGTCAGCGATTCGACTGTTTGTTGGGTCCGTTCGGTTGTTTGTTAAGTTGTTCGTTAGGTCCGTTCGGTTGTTTGTTAGGTTGTTTGTTAGGTAGGTTCGGTTGTTTGTTAGGTAGGTTCGGTAGGTTCGGTTAGGTCCGTTCGGTTAGGTCCGTTCGGTTAGGTCCGTTCGGTTAGGTCCGTTAGGTCCGTTAGGCTGCTTGATGTGTGTAGGTCGATGTTAGTCTGCTTTGTTCGTTCTCATGTCGTTAGGTTGCCGTTGTCCTTTGAGCCGTTTTGAGAACGACGTATTGAGAGAGCGACGTCTTGAGAGAGCGATGATGTTCGGTTAGGTCGTTCACCAAGCAACGTTTGTAACGTATTTGCACCACATAGATTGCACCATATATGTTGCATGCACCCCATAGGTTGCACCACATAGATTGCACCACATACATTGCACCACATAGACTGCATCACATACACAGCACCACATAGATTGCACCACATAGGTTGCTTGCACCACATAGATGTCACCACGTATGTTTTTATTATTGTTATTTCTTTTTGTTTCATTGGATTGCCGCAAGTTCGCGCTCCAGGGCAACGCAATATTTACCAATTGACTTATTTCCAACCTGCCACGCCGTCGATCTTTTAGAACAGCTGAAAATCAGCCGCCGCATTTTCTGCATGAGGTCCTCCCCTCTGTAACACCACAACCGCCGCGGCGACGATTCTATAAGACAGCAGTGCAAAAGAAAATGCGCCTTCACAGTGAAGTGGAACATTTCCCCAGCGTCGGCTTCTTGAGAGAAGAACTCTTGCACGTCTGTCCACAACATCAAAAGAGAATGGCACGTGTTAGCGATATCCTCCCGCACATCTCGCGGCAAACAAAACGCAGTGTTATCTACAGTGTCGATTTTCTCATCCAACAGAACGTTCAAATGCAATATTAACCTGATCTTCTGATATATACTGACCTGGCCGCCTGCGTGCTTATCCCATATCTTCAGAAGAACAGGGCCAAGGCATTTGATTTCTGCTGCTTTGCCCCGCAAGTTCCCCTTGGCTTTTAAGCTGAACATGGACAGCTGCAGGTTGCTGAATCTAGTTTTTACATCATCAGATTTATATATGTCAAATATTTCGCGCTGCAACTTTTCCAAGTTTTGTTCTGGAGAGCCAGGCATGATATAGTGCGTCAGCGCGTACAGCGCTGATCCGAGGAGCCTTTTGTCCAACCCCAAGTGTTTCACGTGCATCCAGTCAGGCGCACATGTCAAAATCGACACGCCTGGTAGTTGGAACACAGGGTTGCAAGCATCCATGCCCTGCGCCCTCCACTGCGCCTCCGTGAACACATTCTGGACCCACGCAGCATTTGGTCTGAAGTCATACCATGGCATTGTGCTGTTATTTGCTGGGCACCAGCCGCACGGCTTGGATAAATTGTTGCAGTTTGGCAAGCCAACGCCTTTCCACATATAATCTAGATCGCCGATCAAAGCCCATAAACAAGCATAGTGGCCACCCGCCAAATCGCCACTCTTTGATCCTGGCGGCATCGCCAATCCATTTTCGTCAACCTCGGGCCACTTTCCGTGCCACAGGGCCTCCAAAGACCATGTCAATTTCTTCCAAAACTGAGTCAACGTTTTTCCAGCAATCGAAGACGCCTGGATACCAGTGAACACCATAAAAATCACGAAATACGTAAGCTGAGTTTGGCCCGTTGTGACCAAAGATGTCCAAGACCATATGTCACACAATTTACCCCATGACTTGCCTAATCCAGTCACTGGTGTTCCGTCCCCGTGGATAGAGATTGGAACGGCAAGCCGTTGATGATGTTGGCGGAAACGAATCGGGTGATTCAAATATTGTTTTGAATTCTTAACGTCGTCCCAGAATTCACGCAGCGCCGACATGGATGGGCACACTAGTTTTTCCCAAGCTTTCGGGTACTCGTGGTATATCCTAGAGAACAACACATGCGGCCACAGCCCATCCAGATCCTTAAAATGTATTCCAGTCTTGCCAGATTTGAGAATCGCATTGAACGGCGAAGGCCGCAGTGCCGACTCGGGCGAAAACTTTTTCATGAGCTGCGAATGCATATGTTGCGGGTTCCGTCCAGCAGTGCCAAGCCCTTTCAAGAAATCCACCGTGCCCATGTCCAACGTGCCACTCGCGCTCGCCTCCAGGTCCGCCCTCAGGAGCGTCGCAATCTTCTGGCACTGCTGAGGCGTCATGCGGCCCCACGCCCATTCCTGGACCAGGAAACTTGCCACAGCACTCTGCAGCAGCGCTGCGGCCCTGGCCTGCTCGGCCCTCTCCGCTCGCTGGCGGCAGCCGCCGCGTCTCCCAAGCAACTCCATGGTGCCCGTCAGCTAAAGACCAGATGCTCGATTTGAAACGTCTACTGATGTCAGGTGTGGATGGGGGGCGGGGCGGGGTACGATAACGCCGACGACGAGACGTCACAGCGAAGAAGAAGCCGAATCCAGCCGCGGCGACGAGCGATGTCCCCGACAGTCCCAAACACGTAGCAGCGTGGTGCACTCTCAAGACACTCTGGACACTCTCAAGACACTCTGGGCACTCTCGAGGCATGGGAATGGGGAGGAGGAGGAGGACTATGTGATTTCAGTCGACCGCGCCGCGCCAGATCGCTCCAGCAACGCAGGACAGCTCGGCGCGCGCGTTGCGCCAGAGCACTTAGTTGTCTCACTCGTATCGCAATCCACTTAAGATCCGAAATAGATCTAAACTTGACTGGGCCAGGGTACACTTTAGATCTAAATCAGATCGAAACTCAACTACTGGATAGTCTAATTCAGACCTAAACTAGATCCGAAGTGGATTGCATCGAAATCTAACTCACGCTGGCTGTGTTGCGTTGGATGTATTGCATTGCGTTGGGCTGTGTTGCGTTGCGTTGGGTTGGCTTCCGACTCCTCCTCATCACCATCATAATCTCCATCATTTTTACATCCTCATCCTCACGTGCTCGCTTACTTCGCGAACCTCTTGGCCAGGCTCATCGCCTCCTTCAGCTTCTCGCAGTCCACTGCGCACGTCGCGAGGGCCTCCTGAACAGCGGGGATCGTCAACTTCGAGTTGTCGGCTGCCTTCCTGAAGCGGTACATCTTCGTCAGCGCATTCTTGTCCACACTGCACGCCTCGACCGCGACCTCCAGCTGATCTTTGATGCCCTCCGCAGCTGGCGGCACTCCGTTGGTAACCAGCTTGTCGAACATCTTCTCACCGTCCTTGAGCAGCTTCTCGAGGATGCATAGGGCCGTGGACAGCTTGTCGATCGCCTTCTGGGGCAGCTCATCGCTGCTGGCCTGCTTGCTTGTCTCCTTTTTCGTCAGCTGGAAACCGAAGTTCATGTTGTTAACTGCTTCTTGGATCTTCTTCGCCTGCTCTTCGGTCGCATTCTTGCCGATGCTGAGCCTGTTCTTGTCGACAACGTCGTGCCTCGTGCCAACCTGGACGGTCCTGATCGCGCAGTAGGGGACGCCGTCCACCGTCCACTCTTGAACTCCGCCTGCCTTGATGGCTCGGTTGAGCCCCTCTTCTCCGTCACGGAATTTCTCGATCATCACGGACCTTGGTATGCCTTCTGACGAGTCCTGGCCAAACTTTGATTTTTTTTGCTCGATCTCCTTCTGGTACCACGGGCTGTCGAGCTTGAGCACGAGTTGTCCGTTCACCTTGTGGAAGAGGTTATTCACGATCTCCGTCTCTCTGGCACGCCTGCCCTTCGGATCACGGGCCGCCTGCTCCCACAGCGACTTCGTCTCGGGGGGCAGCGAATCCATCATCTGCAGCAACTTCCGCATCTTTGGTTGGCTCCGCCTCCCGTCGCCCTCGTCGTCGTCGCCAATCGTAGCAGCCGCGGGCCTCCTCAAGTTGCAAGCTGGCTTCTGGCGAACAGCCGCACCCTTAGCAGAAGCAGGCCTCCTCATGGCCCGCAAGCGCAACGCACTAGGGCCCAGGAAGCGACCTGGCTGGAACCTTGCAGGCTTCTTGGCAACAGGTTCCTCCTCATCCTCTGGCGCCTCCTCCTCTGCCTCCTCGTCCTCAGCATCCGACTCCTGCAGGTCCGAAGCTTTCAGGTCGCCCGCCAGGGCTGCCATCTCCTCGTACAGTTCAACTTTCGCAGCCTTCGGAGGCATCGTCGGTAGCAGAAACCAGTGAGATCTTATCAGCTCAGCGTGAGAGAAACAGCGTTGCTGAGCCAAAATGTTTACAGCATACACAGTTGATGACATATATCACGATCTAGTTTCGATCTAGTTTAGATCCAAACTAGATAATTGCTGAATCTACTTCTCATCTAGTTTTGATCTACTTCTTATCTAGTTTTTCAACACACACTCACAATCCCTGATAGGGGTCGCACTTTTTCATAGAGTAGATCAAAACTAGATCAAAAGTAGATCAAAACTAGATCTGAGCATAATCTACTTTAGATCTAATCTAGATCGAAACTAGATCGCATGTCTGCCTGGTGACATCTACTTTAGATCTAATCTAGATCGAAACTAGATCGCATCCCGCCTGAAACTTCCTCGATATTCAGCTCGCACCAATGAGTAATGAGGCTTCCCGCTTGAGACTTCCTCGCACTTTGATCAGGAATGAGGCTTCCCGCTTGAGGCTTCTCACCTCGAGACATCCCTACACTTTGATCAGGAATGAGGCTCACCGCTTGAGACGTCCTCGATACCCGATATCCCGATACCCGATATGACATCAGAGCATGCAAGATTTGGGCGTTTCGCCTGAGACATCTTCTGAGTGATATCAAATTCCTTTGGGTTTTTTGTTCGAAAGCTCGTGGGCTGAAAGCTTGCAGGGCGCATGCATGTCCCAACAGACGGCCTGCTACGACAAAGAGCTCGAGTCGCCATCGCACTGAAACTTAATCGTCTACGACAATGGTCGTAACTATTTTTTGCTCTGCATTGGCCTTGACCAGCTCAAGCGGCAACTTAGCGCCCTTCTTAAGCTTGGGAAGCCACACGCCAGTCGGGTGCTTCTTTCCTAGCGTGCGCCTCACGGGCCGATGTGGTGCGTCACGGGCCGATGTGGTGTGGTCGCCGACGAGGGGGGAATCAATCTTCGGATCGTAGTCCCAAATGCTTGGCTCCGCGAACAAATCAGCGCGTTTCTGCTGCATGTACCCGAGGCCGCCGTCCATGTACGGCGACTTGTCAGCCATTGCGGCAGTGCGGGGAGTGGGCCCACAGACCCCCGGGCTCCCCAGGGGGAAAGCAAGTAGGGACAATACAAGCAGAAGAGACTCGAGCCTCGAACAAAATTACATTACGGCCCCGAGAAAAGTCACCGAAAACATTATTGGGGTCCTCTTGGAACTCTTTGAAAAAAACAGTTTTCTGAAACCAGTGTTTTTTTTTTTCCAAGCCCCAGGGTGGCGCCAATCGGGGCATTCTTGGGGCTCTCGTGGAGCATCCTTGGGCCCCTCTCGGGGCCCTCTGAAAGCCTTGGGGCCCTCTGGAAACCTTTCTCTCAAGACACTCTCTCTCAAGACACTCTCTCTCAAGACGTCACTCTGGAAGGGGGAGGGGGGGGAAGTTTATTTTTTCGCGCCGACCTAACGCAGCGCAGTTAGCGCTCCTCCTGGAGCGCCGTGGCCTCCTCCTGGAGCGCCGTTCGCGCGCGCCTCTCCATCTCCTCCTTGAGCGCCGTGGCCTGCGCCGTCCTGATGGCCTTGATCAGCTTCTCACCTCGACGAAGAACGTCTGCAGCATCGAGACTCCATGGTTCCCTCATCGATGGCGTCGATGCTGAGCTCGCCGTAGGCGCTGGCGTCGATGCTGAGCTCGCCGTAGGCGCTGGGGTCGACGCTGAGCTCGCCGTAGGCGCTGGGGTCGTTGGTGCTGGCAGCTTCCGTTTCTGCAACTTCGCGAAACTCAACGGGATTGGACTCGGGGAGATGTCGGGCCAATGAGCGCAATTCATAGAAACCAATGTCCGCGCGGCCTCCTCGGTCTTGAACACAACAAACGCCACGACGAATGGACTCTGAGCATGCGAACCTCGTCGGACAATGAACGCGTCGTCGACGTCGTCGAACAATCCAACCTCCGTCAGCTTGGCCGCCAGCATGCCCTTTGTTGTCGAAAACGGAAGCTGGCCCACGAACACCTTCTTCTTGTCGACGGGAACGTTGGCAGGCGGGTGCGGCTGCAGCTTAGACGCGGACATCGCCTCGACGGCTCCACCCGCTGGAAGGGCGAGCCAAACTCTTTGAGCCAAAACGGCTCGACGGATGGAAGGGGGTGGTCATCTTAAATGTGGTGGGGGCATATGGAATCTGGTATCTGGTTGCCGAAACGCACTTGAGTGAAGAAGTTGCGAGGAAGTCTCAAGCGGGATCCCCATCGTTTCTCTTCTCTTTTCTCTCAAGGCGTCCCTCTCTCAAGGCGTCCCTCTCTCAAGACAGGAGGAGAGGAGAACGGGGGGGGCGTGATGATGTGTTACTTGTCGACCTAGTTCAAATCTAATGTAGGTCTAAACTCAACCGAGCTCGATCTAGTTCAGATCTTGTTTAGATCTATATTCAACCGAGCTCGATCTAGTTCAGATCTAGTATAGATCTAAACTCAACCGAGCTCGATCTAGTTCAGATCTTGTTTAGATCTATATTCAACCGAGCTCGATCTAGTTCAGACCTAGTTTAGATCTAAACTCAACTGAACTTACACCGCACTTTGTGAAACAACATTGTATATGTGGTATTTTCCAGAACGCGTAGGCGGCGATCGCCTTCAAGTTCGAACGTGCATTGCTATTTATCGCACAGCAAAGCCTAACCCCGAAACAGACTTTCACTAGCCACGACCCGCGCGCAGATGCACTGCGCCGAAAAGCTTGACGACTGTTGCCTAATCCAGATTCTCCTTCTTGCCTTCTTCCTCACCGAGCCTCGAGTAGCAAGTTGCGCAGGTGCCCTTCCACCTGCACTTTGAGCATCCCCAGCCCATCTCACGGTACTGCCTGCGGAGCTCCTCGGTCTCGGGCCTCCAATAGTCGTTCTTGCCGCCGCCGCCGCCGCCGCGCTCGTCGGCGATCGGTGCCAGGACCTCCTCGCCCGCAGCGGGGGGCTCCATCGCCACGAGCGCCGCCTCCACCTCCTCGCGGGACGCCAGGGCTGGCGCCTTGGCTGTCGGCTTGGCGTTCGCCTTGCCTTTCGCCTTGGCTTTCGCCTTGGCTTTGCCTTTGCCCTTGCCCTTCTGGTTCTTGACCTTGCTCTTGTCCTTGCTCTTCGCGCCCTTGCCCTCGCCCCTCTGGCTCTCGTCCTTGCTCTTCTTGCCCTTGCCCTTGCCCTTGCCGCGCTTCATCGGCTTCAAGATGCGAATGGGCTTCGTCGGCACAGTCGTTGATTTCTCCATCACTACCTCGAGCATGTCCCAGTCGCAGTCGGTAACGCCAGACGGGCGCTTGACCTTGCTCACCTGCTCATCCGAACTGCTGGGCGCCGAAAGATTAGCAAGGTCAGCAAACGCACTCGACAAGTCAAGCGCGAACTTCTCCGTGAGGGACTCGTACTCGATCTCCTTCTCGACGTTGCCCAGCCCAGACGCTGCCGAACCCGAGCGAGTCGGAGGGGCCCTCTCGACGTCGGGAGTGTCGGCAGCACCGTCGGCATCGGCCTTAGCCTTAGCCTTGAGGTCGTTGAGGTCCCAAGGGAGGTGCGTCATGAGATCGAGGACCTTCGTGATCTTCTCCACCTCAGTGCGCGACGCCCCCAAGTAGCAGCGCCGCCGACCCTCGGAGCTCGTCTTGACGGTGCGGAAGTCCATCCAGAGCATCTTGATGGCCTCCGCAATGCTGTTGGTGAAATCTGTCTGGGAAGCGGGAGTGAAGTTGCATTTCTTCTCATTGTCGCACGCTGCAAGGGCCTTCTCGAGTTTCATTCCTGGCGCTACACCGTTCTGGATTACTGGGGCCAGGGCAGCGAACAACGGACTGACCATGGCAAGGACGTTCGCTTTGGGAGCTGTGCGCCAGGTCACGCCATGGTCCACCACCACCTTCAGAAACCCATTGATGTCCCGATTGGGGCAGTCATCGCGCAAGAAATTGCTGAGGCCAGCTTGGATATCGGCAACTGAGATCATTGGATTGGCCGTCAAGCGGTCGCTCGGGGGCGGCGAACCCTCAGGGGTTCGGCTGGCAGCAGACATGCTGCCACAGAAACTGCAAACACCTTGAGCCACAAAACCGTGGCTACGTTGCGAAACACTTCAAATCAACCCAAATCAATGCAACGCACAACACTCAATCAATGAAATGCAATGCAACCCAAATCAAAACCCAATCAATGCAATGCAACACGCAATGCAAAACTCAACCAATGCAAAACTCAACCAATCAATGCAACGCAATGCAAAATTCAATAAATGCAATACAAAGCAAAACTCAATCAACGCAAATCATTGCAGCGCGATGCAAATTATTGCAGATGAATGTGTGTTGTATATGTTATGTTTTTGTTCGCTCTGGTGCGATGCTTGATATGATGCATCACGGTTTATGGTATGTAATGTTATATGTTATATATTATGTGTGGGGCCGTATGATAGTTGTTGTGTTATATTGTCTGT